CGTTTCTAGTGGTTTAGGCAGATGGCACTGCCATGAATGAGCCCCAAGATAGAGCGGACGGTTGAGTTTTTTTAGCGATCGTTGAACGTTTATCAATGAGGGTTCCTCTATCCCGATCTGAACCAGCAAGAAGCTGAAATAAAAGCTATGGCCACGAGCTTGAACCATGCAGTGAGGCACTACTTCAGGTTTAATATGACTAGCTGGTTATGGCTGGATAACCACAAATGGTCCTTCCAGCTGCCTTATCCTTGCCGGCAATGCTACCAAACTTAACATATTCAGCTGACTGCTAGTATTTTTAATTTATTTGTTTGCTCACGTCAAACTCGCCCGCGAAATGTTGAGACAATGCGGAGACAGCAGACGAAATAAGGAGTTTAACCGATGGCAATCTCTGAGAGGCCGATTATTCCAATTGACTGGCCCATCTGCAGTCGGTGTTAGCAGTAAGGAAAATTAGTTGGCATCGCTTTTATAATAAATAATCCCTACAGACATGCGTAGGGTTAAGTCAACATTGAGCTGGTTTCCCTACGCCGATTAACTGGTTAGCAAACATTGACTGCAAGGGCAGATGGTTTTCACTGTGTTGCGTTGGTCATCTTGTACGTACAATATTATTTGTAAGAATGTTTTTGACGGCATAGTTTAATTGGTAAGATGTCTGACATTTTCTCGCATCAGCACGCATATGTAGCCTACAACAGTTACTTAAACGATATCGCTTTGCTAAAACTGTAAAGATCTGGTTAAGATAATAATTTAAATTCCTTACATCATCCCCAGAAGAAGAAGAAGAAGAGACGATCGGTGAAATCGATTGACACATGAGCATTAAGCAAGGCGAATGGTCGTTCACATTTATCTGACGCAAACAGAAGTACAGACACCACGCTCTGACGATGGAAGCGAGCAAGCTTTTGAAACGTCAGCCAGAATAAACTTTGGTCCCAGAAATGGTCTATACTTCTTCCTCCTCTTTCGGGCATGATATAAGAAATATTTTATCTGGACCTCAATTTGTTTCGCATAAGAATAGTGTATATTTATATGCTCCGGCAGAACAAAATATATTTTCCACAAGAGGTTAAATTAATTAACAGAATGCAGAGCAATAAGTTGCTAAAGATGATCATCTGTAATTACGTTAGCACGTTTAATAAGCCATACCATTGACGGCGTGCGTTTGTGGTGATGAGTCATGTGATAGCTGTCGGGTCACTTCAGGTTCATCAAGACGAAACTTAATTCAATTACATGGCACGTAGAGGTCCAGCACGGTGATGTTGTACACATGGCCGCTTGCGTAAGGCAGCAATAGCCTCTAAATAATTGGTGACCAGACATCTGGTGAAGCAGGAGATTGCATATTCACGAACCAACGCGTGCATTATGCGTGTTTCATAGGTTGCTAACTGACACAATTACCGGATCCAACATCAGCCCAGATTAGGGAACACTTGTTAATCTTATGCTCGTTCTGTTTCTTAATAAAGCCTAAGGCAAATGATATGTTACATAACTGCATATAGCTTCATGTGACATATTTAATAAACTCGATTTTAACCTTCATATTCACAATGTCTTTATGCGCGGTTTTGGGTCTCCGTCCCTAATATTTGAGGTGTTGCAACGATATGACGTCAAATGTCCAAAATTGGGAGAAGGAATTTTAAAATGAAAGCATTCCTCCTTTCTCAAAAACGCTGCAATTGCCTGAATCTGGCTTTACCTGCTTTAGATCAACTTCGGACTACGCCTTCTGCTTCAGATTGGGATTAAATGTAAAGCTGTCCTTACTTGGTTTGGAGTTATCGCATAGCATAACGCAGAGAGATAATTGTTGTGGTCCTATCGCACATGATAGGTGGGAAAATTTCTATCCACTCATTGCACCACAATAATTTGACCAAATTGATTCCAACCTACTAAGTAGAATTGGCAACAGTAGCTTGTGTAGCCCCACACATCAATCCCTAAAACCTGCATGTTTTCCTACGAAAAGGGTTGTTATGGGGTTTTATGGGCGGGAAATTAAGACACGCAGTGGAATATACTTTAATAAATACCAAATACATTTTTATTCTACTCTATTTAGAAGTGTTGTCGATTTATATCTGTAGATTTTCCTAATCTGTATTAGCATTTAACTTATTGCGGAAAAAAACCCGATTATCAAACTGCAGGTTTA